GCTAGCCTTGAGCTGAAGAGCTGAGGGACAGCACCCAGGCCCAGAGTTCAGGCCCCATGACCAGACCAAAAAAAAAAAAAGTTGCTCTTGTCAGTTTGTGGAAAAAAGATTAGAGAGGCCAAGCATTGTACCACATACCTATAATCATAACACTTTGGAGATGGAGGCAGGATTGTGAATTTTAGATCAGCTTAGACAAATCAGGGAGTTCCAGGACAGTCTAGGTCCTGGAACAGGAAGATTCTGCCTTCCTATGTAATTGTGTGTGTGTGTGTGTGTGTGTGTGTGTGTGTGTGTGTGTGAGTGAAGATTTAGGCAAGACTGGAGGCAGAGCAAATACAAACTAGCTGGCATGCCCCTGCCTTCCCGTAGCAGGAAAGCAGGGATACAAGAAGTAATTAAACACAAACAGAGCTTCCTATGCAACCACCTGTGCAGCTCTCCCACACCCTATCTAGGCTACAGACTCCACAGAGTCAGCAGAAAAGGTGATTTCAGGCTGCTATCCAACTCCCCTTGGGTCATCTTCAAGGAGGTGACACATTATCAGGTCAGGAGGCAGGGCATTCCCACGGTCCCTGCAAAACCCAGCAATCCCTGCTCCCCACAGTCCCTGCAAAATCCAGTAATCACTGCTCTCCACGGTCTCCATGGTCCTCACATTGTGACTGAGCAAGTCAGCCAAGCACGGTGTTTCAACTAGTACTGAGACCTTGCTGGAGGGCTTGCTTCTCCAGAAGGGGTGGCCTCCTTTGCAGGTGTGAGGGCCTGAGTTCAAACTCCAGCACAGCCAAAAATGGAAAAGAAAACCATCCTAACTACAGAGATTTTAAAATCGACTCCTAAATAAGTTTTGAATATCCTCAGAACAGAAGCTTGTAATCTCTGTCATTTAACAGGGAGGAAAAGAAGAGTCCGTGCCAGGTGCTGGTGGCTCACAGCTGTAAACCTAACTGATCAGGAAGTTGAGATCTGAAAATCACTGTTTGAAACCAGCTCAGGCAAGAACGTTTGTGAGAATCTTATATCCAATAAACAACTGTACCACAGAAGCCAGAAGTAGAGCTGTACTCTAGAGGTAGAGCACTAGCTGTAAGCAAAAAAGCTTAGGGACAGCACTCAGGCCCTGAGTTTCAAGCTCCTGAAGCAGTGTGTGCGTGCGCGCGCGCGCGCGCGCGCACACACACACACACACACACACACACACACACACACCACACCAGCCTTTATGTGATCATAACTAATCACACCTCTCAGGATCTGTGTTTGTTGTTTATTTATTTATTTCCAGTTATATGTATCCGTTGTAAGAATTCTTTTTTGCAGATGGCAAAAGCAAAATTTTCACATTTTGAAAAATTTGGAAGTATAGCAAATAAAAAAGAAAAGGCTAGAAGGGATAGGAAGGACAGCCGTAGCCCCCACCCAAGGACAATGCAGGCCACGTGGACATGCTTCCCACCAGGGTTCTTTAGACCACAGAAATAAACTCTGCCTAAAATGAAACTCTGCTTAAAATCCTAATTTTCTCCTTCAAAATTATAACATCAGCACTTTCCATACCAGTAAAGGTTTATTGATACAATAATACTTTTATATATCACAGAGCCACAAGGATTTCCACCCTGTTTCTATGGAAACCAGCCATGTGGCTCCAAACATGGCCATCCCTATCATACCCACTGGGTGGGAATCAGGACATAGGGTGGACACCACCCTGAAGTGGTTGAACACCCAAATTCCAGAAGAAAAGCTCCTGTCACCTTGGGTAGTGACAACCTGAGAAAGTAACAAAAATCTGAGGTAGGTCCCCAGGGCCACGCTGGCATCTTTCCTGGCATCCAAAGGGATGTTCTGAATCCAGATGCCCTCCTGCTTCTAAGCTTTGCAGTGAGCCCCCACCATCACAAAAGCTTTCCTAACCCTGTTTGGCCATTGGACTGTTTTTATATTTATAGCATAAGAGCATAGAGCTTCGAATGCCAGCTCTGTCACATAAACTCTCCTGTGAATTTTTTGTTCCACAGTCAGAGGCATTATCCATTGCACCACTGCCCACCTGCTGTATTATTATTATTATTATTGACATTTCTTGACTTGTACTCAGGGCCTCATGCTCTAGCTCAGCTTTCTTGCTCCTAGATAGTGCCCCACCACCTGGGCCAAGCCTCCAGCTGAGATTTTTTGCTGGTTAAATAAAGATGGAATCTCATGGACTTTTCTGCCTGAGCTGGCTTTGAACAGCAATCCTCCAGGTCTCGGCCTCTTAAGTAGCTAGGATTATAGGCGTGAGCCACCAGATCCCAGCTTCTAAATGAATTTTTTTTTGGTGGGGGGGAGGAGGTTCGGTCATGGGGCTTGAACTCTGGGCCTGGGCGCTGTCCCTGAGCTCTTCAGCTCAAGGTGAGTGCTCTACCACTTGAGCCACAGTGTCACTTCCAGTTTTCTGGTGGTTTAAAAGGAGATAAGAGTCTCACAGACTTTCCTTCCCAGGCTACCTTTGAACTGTGATCTTCAGATTTTAGCCTCCAGAGTAGCTAGGATTACAGGTGTGAGCCACTGTACCCAGCTCAGTTCTAGATTTTTAAACATTTCTGTGGCTCACATCTACATGGGAGATAGTGATCAGGACTGTAGTTTGAGACCAGCCTGGGCAAAAAGTTAGGGAGATCCCATCTCAACCATCATGTTGGGGTGGTATTGTTTATCTTTTATCTCAGCTACATAAGAGGTTGTAGTTAAGAGGATTAGGGTCCAAGGTCAGCCTTGGGCTTGCCTAATCATGCCTGAGGCCCTGAGTTCAATCCTCAGCAAAACAAAAACACAAAATTAAAAATCATTTAAAAATCAAAAAAGGGACTGGGAATATGATATGGCTTAGTGGTAGAGTGCTTGCCTCGCATGCATGAGGCTCTGGGTTCAATTCCTCAGTACCACATACACAGAAAAAGCCAGAAGTGGCTTTGTGGTTCAAGTGGTAGAGTGCTAGCCTTAAGCAAATGAAGCTCAGGGATAGTGTCCAGGCCCTGAGTTTAAGCCTCAGGACTGGCAAAAAATAAAAAATTAAAAAAGCAGGGCTGGGAAGGTGGCTCAGTGGTAGAGTGCTGGCCTTGCTTGCGCAAGGCCTTGGGTTCGATTCCTCAGCACCACATAAGCAAAAAGAAAAAAGCCGGAAGTGGCGCTGTGGCTCTAGTGGTAGAGCACTAGCCTTGAGCTGAAGAGCTGAGGGACAGCGCCCAGGCCCAGGAGTTCAGGCCCCACGACCGGACCAAAAAAATAAAATAAAAAAAGCATCAGCAAGTATGTGGTGAGTGGCCCTCTCTGGGCACTGGGGAGGGAGGGCTGACAGAGTGAGGAGCGCCACACCTGCACATCTTGTTCCAGCTTGATCTTGATCGAGTTGTACTCCTCGCAGTCCCAGACCCGCTGCTTGTTCAGCTGCTTCTCGTAGTCCTCCACCTTCTTCATGCGGTTTATAAGGTACTCCAGCTGAAGCACAGTGAGACAAGGGGGAGTTAAGGGCCTCCCTGTTCCGCTCAGTCCTTCAGGTGGCCTGTCAAGTGTGACCCACTGGCACCTTAGGAAGTATGCGGCTGGGGAAATCTGGTGGCTTCAGAAGCCTAAAGATCTTACTCCCCGAGGAATTGCTTAAGTTTTCTTAAGAAAACCTATTAACATGAAGAAAGCTAAATGTCTTAATTTCCATGAAAAAAATCAGCTGGCCAGGGTGGCTCCTGATGGTAATCCTAGCTACTCAGGAGGCTGAGATCTGAGGATCAAAGGTCAAAGCCAGACTGGAAAGAAAAGTCCTGGAGACTCTATCTCCAGTTAGCCAGTGAAAAGAAAGCTAGGCTCCAAGTGTGGTTCAAATGGTAGAACACCAGCTATGAGCAAAAAAGGTAAGCAAGAGTACAATATCCTGAGTTCAAGCTCCAGTACATTCTCTCTCTCTCTCTCTCTTTGTCTGTCTCTCTCTCTCTCTGTCACACACACACACACACACACACACACACACACACACACACACACACATACACACAAAGTGTGTCTTTTTTGGGGGGGAAGAGGAGGTCATGGGCTCAAACTCTGGGCTTTGGTGCTGTCCCTGAGCTGAAGAGCTCAGGGAAAGCGCTCTACCACTCCAGCCACAGCGTCATTTCCAGCTTTATGGTGGTTAGTTGGAGATGATTGACATGTACTTTCCTACCCAAGCTGGCTTTGAACTGGGATCCTCAGATCTCAGCCTCTTGAGTAGCTAGGATTACAGGCATGTGAGATCTGAGGATCATGGTTCAAAGCTAGCTTGGATAGGAAAGTTCATGACACTCTTATCTCCAATTAACCACCAAAAAAAAAAAAAACAGAAGTAGAGCAGTGGTTTAAATGATAGAGCACTAATCTTGAGCACAAAAGCTAAGGGACATCACCCAGGCCCTGAGTTCAAGCTCCAGGACAGGCACACACACACACACACACACACACACACACACACACATCACCATCTCTAGCCATGACTATCCACAGCTGCACACACACACACACACATCACCTTCTCTAGCCATGACTATCCACAGCTGGGCAGATGCCTAAGGAGAGTGACAGCTCACCCCCACAAAGAGGCCGCACTGATGAACACACTGACAGTTGAGTACTAAGTGCATGCCATGGTACTCTACCCACAACCAAGATTCTGGAGTTCAGTCACACCCCAATTCCTCAGGTTTCCCCTTGCCACCCTCCCCCACATTTGCTGGCCTTTACCTCTTTGGCATTGTGAGTCTGCAGTGCCCGCTCCCATTTCTTCTTGTTACTGGTCAACAGCTCCTGGCGCTCCACCTCAAAGGCTTTCTACACCATGAGGGGAGAGAGCTTTCAGAGAAGCCACAATTGCCACATCCCCAGCAACACAAAGTCATATCCAAACCACAAGCTTGCCAATTCATGCAGCTAAAATGTGTAGAAACTAGAATGTGTGAATTAGTCACTATCAGCAATCAAAGCTGATGGCTGGAGGCTGGGCAGTTGCTGACTAGCAGTCACCCTATGGGGCAAAGCATGGCAAAACATGCAGTCCTGATTGGGAGGTACGCTGCCATGACAGGGCCCCAGGAAGTAGAGGCAGCATGCGGCTACCCAAGCTAGGGACTCGAGTGAGTGCAGCAATCCAGAGCCAGGCCATTCTGTTCTCTTCTCTTCCATCCTGGGTAGGCCTAAAGCTCCGTCTCAACATATTCAAAGTCAAGGTACTAGCCGAGCACTGGTGCTCACCAGTGTAATCCTAGCTACTCAGAAGGCTGAGATCTGAGGATCATGGTTCAAAGCCAGCTTGGGCAGGAAAGTCTATGACACTACTTCCAATTAACCACCAAAATGCCAGAAATGGGGCTGTGGCTCAAGTGGTAGAGTGCTAGTCTTGAGTCTAAGCAAGAACATGATCTCCAGTACCAGTGTGTGTATGTGTGTTGTGTGTGTGTGTGTATGTGTGTGTATGTGCATGTGCATGCACATGTGCACACACACATATACACAATTCAAGGTACTTATTCCTGAATACTACTTGGCACCCCCTGTCCCCATTTCTCTACCCAACTGCCAAAAGTAAACAAATAAATGAATGGCTCAAAGGGCACTAATTTCCCTCCTCTGCACCCTATCACATCTTTCTTTCTATGGGAATTATCAAATTGTAAATAGTTAGAAAAGTATTTATTTCTAGCTATTTCCTACTAGAACACTGTTTTCTTTTTTTTTTTTTTTTTTGGTCCAGTCGTGGGGCCTGAACTCTGGGCTTGGGTGCTGTCCCTCAGCTCTTCAGCTCAAGGCGAGCACTCTACCACTTGAGCCACAGCGCCACATCCCGCTTTTTTCTTTTTGCTTATGTGGTGCTGAGGAATGGAACCCAGGGCCTCATGCATGCAAGGCAAGCACTCTGCCACTGAGCCACCTTCCCAGCCCCTAGAACACTGGTTTCTATGGGGTTTTCTTTTTTCTTTTTTTTGTCCATCGTGAGGCTTGAACTCTAGTCCTGGGCACTGTCCCTCAGCTCTTCAGCTCAAGGCTAGCGCTCTACCACTTGAGCCACAAAGCCACTTCGGCTTTTTCTGCCTATGTGGTGCTAAGGAATCAAACCCAGGACCTCATGCATGCACAAGGCAAGCACTCTACCACCAAGCCACCTTCCTAGGCCCCCTATAGGGTTTTTCTTATTCCTAGCTATATCCTCTGCTCTCTATCCAGTGTCTGGCACACAGATAACACTTGATTACTGGTTGACTGAGTGAATGAGCAAATAAATTATTGAAGCCCTAGCACATAGGCAGAGATCAGAGCACACAGATGTCCAGGCCTCTCCTCGTCTGATGAGGGCTGGGCTGCCTCCTCCCCAGCCTTCCCTCCCCTCTGTCCCTGCAGTGCAGAAGGGGGCTTTTTTGGCCCTCACCTCAATGTGAGAGAGCTCTTGGCGAAAGGTTTTCATCACATTCTTCACCTGCTCTTCCATCCGCTCCAGAAGCAAGGCAATGTCATCTGACTGTTTCTTCAAGTCCTTCACATACTGGTCATCCTTTACTTTTAACTCCTTGAAAATACATGGAGATCACAAACTGAGGAAGAAACAAGTGCCAAGCACCCCCACCCAGTCTTCTCTTCTCTGAATCCGTAAACCCTAGGAATTAAAGGTGCACAGAGAGAAAACCACCTCAGAAGAGTCTTTCAAGATATGGTGAAAAACAAAGGTGGATTTGAAAATAACTCAGCTTAGGATAACACTATGGGTGTGCAAGCTACAAATCCCCCTGCCAAGCTCCCAGGAAGCCCAGCTAACAACGAAGTCCTGGGAATAACATGGGAGCATAGTGACTACAGCCTAAGTTCCATTCCTTAACTAAAGTCAGAAAATCTTATAAGTACCGCGCGCTACCGATTGCGCCACTAGAGCTCCTAAAGTCAGAAAATCTGAAACAACAATTGCTGTAAGAGTACATCTTTGGGGGCTGGGAAGGTGGCTCAGTGGCAGAGCGCTTGCCTTGCATGCATGAGGCCTTGGGTTTGATTCCTCAGCACCACATAAGCAAAAAGAAAAAAGCCAGAAGAGGTTGATATCTGTGGACAATTCTGAGAGACTCTTACCTCCAAGTAATAGCAAAAAGGCAGAAGTAGAGGTGTGACTCATGTGGTAGAGCACCAGCATTGAGCAAAAAAGCTAAGCAAGCATGAGAGGCTCTGAATTCAAGCACACACACACACACACACACACACACACACACACAAAATTTAAAAATAGGATCACAATATGATCCAGTAGTCCCACTTCCAGTGTAGACGCAAGGGAATTGGAAGATCCCAGAGAAACATGTACACCATGTTCAGCCAGGAGCTGAAAGCAACTCAGATGTCCACAAAAGAAATACAATAATGCACATATGTTTATGGATTATCATCAGCAGGCTTGAAAAGAAAAAAATTCTATCACATGCTATTACAAGGCTAAACCTCAAGGACGCTAAGCTAATCACTTGATGCATGTGACCCCACTCATGTGAAACTACTCTGTAACATAGCCCAAGTCACCGAAACAGAAAAGAGAAGCTGAGGGCCAATGGCCCACACCTGTAATTCTAGCTACTTTGGAGGCTGAGATCTGAGGATTGCAGTTTGAAGCCAGCCTGGGCAGAAAAGTTCCCATGAGACTCTTTATCTCCAATTAATCACTCAGAAACTGGAAGTGGTGCTGTGGCTCAAATGGTGGAGCACTAGCTTTGAGCACAAAGAGGCTCAGGGACAGTGCTCAGGCCCTGAGTTCAAGCCCTACAACTGACAAAAACAGAGAGAGAGAGAGGGAGAGAGGTAGTGACCAGGGAGAAGGATCTAGTGGGTTTCAGTATTGTAAGCTTAATTTTTCTAGGTATCCATTACACAATGATGTGAATATACTAACACCATTGAACTAGATACTTTATTTAAATATAATGGGACATAATCATTAAAAATAATTGTGAGTGACGCTGTGGCTCAAGTGGTAGAGAACTCACCTGAGCTGAAGAGCTCGGGGACAGACGCAGATCCAGAGTTCAAGCCCCATGACTGACCAAAAAAAAAAGATTTAGCCAGGCGAGGGTGACTCATCCCTATAATCCTAGCTACTGAGGAAGCTGAGATCTAAGGATCACGGTTCAAAGCCAACCAGGGTAGGAAAGTCCATGAGATTCCTATCTCCAATTTACCACTGGAAAACCAGAAGTGGCGCTGTGGCTCAAGTGGTAGAGCGCTCACCTTGAGCTGAAGAGCTCAGGGACAGCGCCCAGGTCCAGAGTTCAAACCCCATGATTGACAAAAAATAATAATAATAATAATTTTGAGAAAAAAGTATCACTTGAGCTATGCAATATTTTTGTATGGAGTTGGGGGGGAGAAGGAGAAAGGGATAGTACTGCTATGTATCCCAAGCAGGCCTCAAACGCTTAGTCTCTCAAGTGTTCATCACTGCAGCAGCTTGGGTTGTACAACATTCTAAGTAAGGCAGGTGAAGCAGACAAATGACCCAATTCTAGCCCTCAACAAGACCACACTTGGCTGGGATGGGCCCAGGCCTCTCACCTGCTGTAATTCACTGATCAACTTGTTCTTATCTTCTATGAGCCTGGCACAGTGCTGCTGCTGGTGGTTGAGCATCTCCCACAGCTCCTGGGGAATCTGCTTGCGTTTGCCTTCCTCCCACTTGGCAGTGATTTCATCAAATTTGTCCTGGCTGGTCTTAACTTCATTTTCCAGCTTCTCAATTCTGCAAGTATAGACATGGCCTCAGCTCAGGGTTTAGCCTTGCAGCAGCACAGACCAGTTCTGAGCTGTCTATACTACAGGGTCCAGGCAGTGGGCACTGCCCTCAGACTCCTGCCTAGAGCTAAACTGCACACTGGCAGAGCTTCTTTGAATGTTTGACCTTCAAAGCTGACCCAGTAAACAAAGTGGCATGTGACAAAGGACATGTGGCATGTGTCCCAGCACAGGGCTGGGAATGTGGCTTAGTGGTAGAGTGCTTGCCTAGCATGCATGAGGCGGTGGGTTCGATTCCTCAGTACCACATAAACAGAAAAGGCCAGAAGTGGGCTGGGAAGTTGGCTCAGTGGTAGAGCGCTTGCCTTGCATGCATAAGGCCCTGGATTTGATTCCTCAGCACCACATAAGCAGAAAAAAATAAAAAGCCGGAAGTGGCGCTGTGGCTCAAGTGGTAGAGTGCTAGCCTTGAGCTGAAGAGCTGAGGGACAGTGCCCAGGCCCAGAGTTCAGGCCCATCACCAGACCAAAAAAAGAAAAAAAGGAAAGGCCAGAAGTGGTGCTGTGGCTCAAGTGGTAGAGTGCTAGAGCCTTGAGTTCAAACCCCAGGACTGGCCAAAAAAAAAAAAGAAGAAGAAGAAGAGGGGGCAATACATTAAGGCTACACACACAACACATGTCACACACAGTGCAAAATCACTCATCATACATGTCATATACAAATCAAGAGTCAACTGGAAGGCAGTTACTCAGGAGGCTGGGATCTGAGGATCACCGTTTGAAGCCAACCAGGCAGGAAAGACTCTTATCCCCAATTAACCAGCAAAAAGCTGGAAATGAAGCTGTGATTCAAGTGGTAGAGTAACAACCTTGAGAGGAAAAAGCAAAAGGACAGCCCCATAGGCCCTGAGTTCAAGCCCCATACCAAATATATATATATATCAATTGGGTCCTTCAAAGTAGCTCAAGCTTTGACAAGTTGCTTAAGCACTGCAAGATGAAATGTCTTCATCTGTGCAAAGAAGGTACAGTGCCCTTCAGAATTAAATGAGTCAGTGCTTGGCACAGGTGCACCTCACCTGGAAATCACTTAATGAGCAATCGCTGCAATAAATTTTTTATTTTTTTAGCAACATGATTTCAAGTGTAAGCAGAGATGTGTTTTCCCCAACTCTTTCTACATATCCCTTTCAGAACTAATTACAGTCTGGTATTTCCATATGATCCTATGCAAAGGCCACATGTCACACCTCTGGCACCCACACAGAATGGCACAGTTAATACTTGTGGGAGGGAGAGAGGTGGGGGAAGGAGGTTCCTATGGGTCGGGGAGTCCAGAAGGCTAAGTTGGACACAGTCAAACTGCAAGGATTCAAGAGAGCCCAGCCCTGAGCTGCTCACCTCTGCCGCTTTAGCTCCTCTTCCTCTACCCGCCTGTGGATCTCTCTGATGTCTGTAGCCACCTGGATGTTGGTCACCAACTCTGTGCCACAGAGCAGCAATTTAGCTAGTTTCTGGAAGAAGGAGGAGGGGGAGGAGGAGGAGGGAGAGAGAGACAGAGACACAGAGAGAGAAAAATTCATCAAATAGCTGGGCTGTAGCTGGGGTGCTGTGGTTCATGCCTATAATCCTGCTATTCAAGAGACTGAGATCTGAGGATCATGGTTTGAAACCAGCCAGGGCAGGATAGTCTGAGAGTCTTATCTCCAATTAACCACCAAAAAGCCAAGAGTGGAACTGTGGCTCAAGTGGTGGAGCACTAACTCAGAGCACCCAGGTCCTAAATTCAAGCCCCAGAACCACCACCACCACCACCACCACCACCACCCACACAAATTAGAGCACTATGAAGAATTTAGGGACATTAAGGCTGGGGTGTGGTTCAGTGGTAGAGCTTTTGTTCTACCACTTGGGACATGAGAAAATTCTAAGGATTAGGGTCCACACTCAGTGGTAGAGCCCTTGCTTAGCATGTGTGAGACTTTGGGTTCAGTCCCTAGCACCCCACAAAATAAGATTAAATAATAAATCTGAGTCACATATTTAAGACTCAAAGTAAATTGAAAATCAAAATAAGCCAGGTGCTGGTGGCTCATGCCTATAATCCTATTTACTCAGGAGATCTGGAGGATCTGCCAGCCTGGGAAGAAAAATCTGTGAGACCTCATCTCCAACTAAACGGTAAAATGCTGGACTGGAGGCATGGCTCAAGTGATAAAGAGTTTCAGTCATGAATAAGAAAGCCAAGCAGGGATTCAGGTCCTGAGTTAAATTATAGATAGATAGATAGATAGATAGATAGATAGATAGATAGATAGATAGATAGATAGATAGATAGATAGATATACAAAATAGAGATCCATATACCATGCATAAATGTTTTAAAATTATGATATGTAAGACTCAAAACCTTCTCTATCTTCTTACCTTGATTCCTTTACAGAAAGCTACAAGTCCAAGGGGACTGAGACTACACTCAGAATTCCAGTCAAAGCTGGTGCCCAAAGTCCAGAGCCACTCACTTCTCTGTCCAGTGGACAATGTGGATCTCCAGAACACACCATTGCAACTCTATTATAGGGTCCATTGGTTTCAAAACCAGTGGTCTTATCTTCCCTGAGCAGGCCCTGGGAAGAAGCCCAGGCAGGCCTTGGAGGGCCAGGAAACAACACTGTGCATTACCATGATACTTGGTGATGGAAAGGTAGAGAGACTTGGTTGCCTTTTCCAGGCTTTACTCTCGAATCAAAGCTGTTGGTCTGTTAAGATCCCTTTCTGCTCTTTTTCTTTTCTTATAGCAATGATGGGGTTTTTCCTGTTTATTGATGAGCTATGCACCACCATCATGAAAACAGGATCTCACAGAGCTTACAAGTTCATTGGAAACCTCCAAATGGTAATAGTCTAATCCAGGTCTGTCTAGAGACAGTGATGTAAAATGCATGATTCCTACCAGCCCAACCAAGCAGACCATGCTGGCTGCCATCTTTACTCCTCCAGCGCTACGACCACCTGCCACCAACCCATACCAGTCTGCTTTCTTCTTTCTGTTTGTAGCTCTTGCTTTGGTCTTCCTCACTTTCCTTCTTCCCATCTAAATATTCTCCCAATGCTTCCCTGTGACAAAGAAAAGGGGGGGGCAGTATAGAGACTCAAGTTATTTCTATACCTAAATTTGAGACTTTCAAGGTTCAAGAGTACTTAATACCATATATAAAAACTTATTCTGTTTAGAGAAAGTATTTTTAAAACAATAGTAAAATACTACAAGGAAATATAGGAGAATGCAAATATCTTAGCATAGAGCTCATCTTTGAATAAGACCAGTCAGGAGAGGGGAAAATGATTAATTTTTCTGTGAAAATTAAGGGGTACACTGGGGACAGGGACTTGGAGGCTGCTTTTGCTGGAAGCATTGACTCTTCACTTGGGCCTGTAGATGCCCTATGGATAATGGAAAAGGGGGGGGGGAACTTGTCATCTCTGGCTTCATTTCGAATCTACATTATAATCAACAGCCTGCCAACTGCCAGTTTTTACAATGTCCTATTCTAGACCCCCATGAGGTACCTTGCAGTTTCTAGTCATTGCTCTAACCTGAGGGCCTAACTCCATCTTGCCTTTCTAATTAGTGGGTTGTTTTTTGTTTTTTTTTTGAGGGGGAAAAGGGTAGTGCAAAGACTAAAAGTCAGGGCCTTGCACACACTAGGAAAGCACTCTACTACTGAGCTATGTCCATAGTCTTAACTAGCTCTTTAAGTCATTCTCTCCTAAAGTCACCTTGGCTCTTAGGCCTGACTGATGAACATATTATAGAAAATGACCCCAATTATCCTCCAAGCAACAGGAACCTTCTTGGTGCCAATAACATTCCAGACAGGAAATAATGGCCCAAGATATGGTCAACTGAACCACAGCAAGACCAAAACCTCAGCTCCATCGTGGAAAGCCTGACCATTGCCCCCTGCCTTTGTTCTCTATTTCAATTTAACCCAAAGACTTCTTAAAGTTCTTGAAGACATGGGTCACTAGACCTCTGAGATTCCTTCCAGTGTGGTCACACTGAAAACACAGCTCTTTTCCTGCTTCCATTGTGGGACACCCTACAGCAGGGACTTTTGTTGCAGTATGGGTAGCAAACTGGTAAAAATGTTTATAAAATGCACTCATAAAGGAAAAAGGCTAAGGACTCAATCCCTAGTACTATGGAAAGAAAAGATGAAAGAAAGAAAAAAAGAAAGAAAGGAAGAAAGAAAGAGAGAGAGAAGAGGGAGGGAGGGAGGAAAGAAGTTAGGAAGGAAGGAAGGAAGGAAGGAAGGAAGGAAGGAAGGAAATGGGATGGAGGGAGGAAGGAGGGAGAGAAAGAGGGAAGGGAGGAAAAAGAGAAAAAAGAAGGAAAAAGGAAAGAAAAAAGAGAAAGGAAAGAAGGAAAAGGAGAAAAAGAGAAAGGAAGAAGGAAGGAAGGGAGAAAAAGAGAAAGGAAGAATGAGGAAAAACTGAGTGTAGTCCTTTTGATATTTGCTAAAAATAACATAATTGCTCTATCTCCTCATCTCTCTGTTCTGCCTCATTTCAATCTATTAGACATTTGCTTTAGATGTGAATAGCAGAAGGAACTGGGGCAGGGGAGAGGTATACATGATTATTAAACAATCCCAGTCACAGGCATGCAGTGGTCAGAGGTGGTCACAAGTAGTCTCAGGGTTATTATAAGAGTCAGTGCTGCTGGAAGTGGTGCTGTGGCTCAGGTGGTAGTGCACTAGCCTTGAACACAAAGAGGCTCAAGGACAGCACTCAGGCCCTGAGTTCAAGCCCCAAGACTGGCATAGATAAATAAATACTCAGAGATGACCAGGTGCTGCTGCCTTGTGCCTGTAATCCTAGCTACTCAGGAGGCTGAGATCTGAAGATCAAGGTTAGAAGCCAACCCAGGCAGACTTTGAGTTCCTAGAATATTGCTTTTCTCCCAAAGGAATAAACTCTGTTCCTGCTTTTACCTCCTGCCACTCCTGATGCCTTGAGATACCCCCAAAAGTGGGACCTCCGTCCTAGGACACCTGTTACATTTTTGTCGGTCGTGGGGCTTGAACTCTGGGCTTGGGCACTGTCCCTGAGCTCTTCAGCTCAAGGTGAGCGCTCTACCACTTGAGCCACAGTGCCACTTCGGTTTTCTAGTGGTTTATCATGGACTTTCCTGCCCAGGCTGGCTTTGAACCGTGATCCTCAGATGTCAGCCTCTTGAGTAGTTAGGATTACAGGCATGAGCCACCAGTGCCCGGCAAGACTTTCATTCTTTTTTGGGTAAGATTTGTTAAAAACTGAAGTTTCTCCTCCGACCCAATGTCCCTCCCTGACTTTGAATTTTTTTTTTACAGAAAGCTCTTGCAGGTACACAAAAAGTATATATATGCACAACAAATGAAATATGGACATTGGGTCTAACTGGCACCATCTTGGCATCTTAGTGGCTGAGAAGGACTTCCTGAAAACTCTTAGAGGTAAAATCCCCGCCTCCCCCGCCACCCTACCAGGTGAAGGCTTGCCTGAATTCCTAAAAGCAGTGGCAGGAACTTGGACAGTATGTTCCTGGACCTGCCAGACCAGTGACCAGTACCATGAACTCCTGAGACTCTCTGAACTCTTGAGCTCCCTGGGACCCTGCCCCTTGACCGTGATTCTACTTAGGCCCACCACCTCAACCACCAATTCATCATTCCTTCTTCTGGTCACCATTTGAGTTGATCTGGTTTGTTGAGATTGTTTTTCTGCTCTTTCTTTACTTTCCTCATGGCTCAGTTTTCTAACAGTATTAAGTATATTCAAGGCTACAAGTTTTGGGGGGATATGTGCCCATTCACAGTTGCTGGCTTTCTAATAAAGACTCCCAATTCATCCTCTCAAAATGTGGCTTCTCTGTATCTTGTGATCAAATTCCCATATAACACAATGCCTAGTGTGATAGGGAGTTCATTCTGCTTCCCAGTTTCCATGCCAATCACAGGAACTTAAGATTCATACTGAAGCAAAATATAGCAAGGAGAAATAGAAAATGGCAGGGAGACGCATTATCTGCTTCCTGTACAGGAAATGGGATGAAGATGGTCTTACCTGGAGTCTTAGTATTTTTCTGAGCTGGGGAATTACACATGGTCATGTTTTCTATGTGGGGTGCGTATGTGGTGTGGTGTGGTGTGTGTGTGTGTGTGTGTGTGTGTGTGTGTGTGTGTGCGCATGCGTGCGTGCTGGTATCGGGATCTGAACTCTGGGCCTCATGATCTCCCTTGGCTTTTTCGATGAAGGATGGTACTCTACCATTTGAGCCACAGCTCCACTTCTAGTTTTTTGCTGGTTAACTGGAGATAAGAGTCTCATGGACTTTCATACCTCAGGACAAATGAAGCCAATACTTTATTATCCAAACAGTCATTGTAAAACAAAATCCCTGTATCTCATTCTCTCTCTCTCTCCCTCTCTCTCTCTCTCTTTTGGTCTGTCATGGGGCCTGAACTCTGGGCCCGGGCACTGTCCTTCAGCTCTTGAGCTCAAGGCTAGCACTCTACTACTTGATCCATAGCGCCACTTCTGGCTTTTTCTGCTTATGTGGTGCTGAGGAATCAAACCCAGGCAAGCACTCTACCATTGAGCCACCTTTTCAGCCCTCTCATTCTCTTTTGAGTCTTTCTAACACTGACCACCAACTCCCCACAGTCTTTGTTCAAAGTCTAAGGTCTAAGAGTCAGCTTGCCAATTAAGTCTCCACCCTGTGTCCCTACCTGTTTACAAAAATCTGTTAAGTTTCTATTTCCCAGATGTTGTATTGTTTTCCCGGTGTGAAGTACAAATTCCTGCCCCTCTTGCAACAGTCTCATTGCACTCCTCAGAATGTGACTCTCCCCACAATTCCTGTGGCCCACATAACACCTTTGCAACACCTTCTTCTGACTCTATCCCTCAAATTCCCATGATCCAAGTAATGTGACCAATGTAACTGCCCCTAAAATTGTGTTTAAATTCTGCCCCCACCTGTCCACAGCTGCTGCCTCCATTCCTGCTTGGAGCAGCCCGGCAGGTCTGTCCCCCAATAAAGACTTGAGCCCATATCGGTCAATTGCCTCTCATTTCTTACACAAAGTCCAGCCTGGATTGATGAAGTAGCAGAATTGAGTTATGATTCCTCAGTCCCAGTCTAACCCAAACCCTCTTTTTCTTGAGAAAACCTTTCTTTCTTGTCATTTCATCCTACAGAGATTGCTCTTTGTTTCTTAGGAAGAACCCCAATGTGTTCCACACTACTCAGGCCTTCAGATATGGCCAGGCTAATACAGATTCAAGCCCCACCCAGAGAGGTACTCTATTCCCTTGACTATTTTGACTATCAATTAATTAGTTACCGTTGTTATCTAAATATTCCCTTCCTGCTACTTCCTGGAGCAAAGATCAATGTGTTTCAGAAGGGAAAAAAAACTATACAATACAGGTCTGCTACAAATTTCTCTCTAGTTCTAACTGAAATCCCATTGCTACCCTTCATTCATCACCTGCAACTGTCCAATATGATGGCCAATATGGTGGCAACTGACCAAACAGGACAACCAGGCACTTAAAATGAGGCCAGTCTAAACTGAAACCTGCTAGAAGTTTAAAATGCATTTTGAAGACTTTCAACAATGAAAAATGCAATCCATCTCAGTGAGATGATTCATACTGATTGTGAAGCCAATTTTAGACCTCAAACTCCAGGAGTTTCTACATGTCAGGTCTGGCCCCTCAGCTCCATACTCTAAAAGATACCGTGACAGGCAGAGAAAGGAGATCTATTACATATCACAGGCTGCCATGCGAAGACTGAACTTCAGTTCATCTTCAGCTGTGTTTGAATATAAACAGCTATAGGTTTAAGTAGAGAAAGAATTAGAGGCAATGGTTGAGACATTTAAATAGCTTCATAATTGTAGTGACAAGCGTGTTTGGAGGTGGTCAGCAGAGGTAGCCAGAGGTGATGTCAGAGGTTGTCTGAATGTGCATTGTTTTAGAATTGGTCAGGTGGAACCTTCTTATAATGAGTCACCAACACCTGGCCAGTAGCCCAGCCTCTGGTGTGCTCCTTTGTGGCTCTTTGGCTTCTTAGATGTTGGTGAAGTGTCTGCAGGAGAAAATGGCTCGGGGCAAATGGAGGCTGGATGACAGACAAGATCTCCTGATTTTAATTAATGTGTGGACACAAGTAGGGAGGAGCTAGTGCTTTTAAGCCCTTGTTACAACTGCATGTTGAATTGATAATATTTTTATATATTGGATAATATATTAAATATATACATATGTGTTTTATATGTTGGGTTATAAGTATTTGCCTATATTATATATGTTAGATATTATATATATTTAAATAAAATATGAACAAAATTTTGTTTTTCCTTTTTAGGTGTACTATTATTAAAATTGCATGTTGTATTTCTGTTGTTTAGCACTGACTTAGCTTATTCCACTTATTCTCTCTCCTTAGATTTGAGCTCCCTCTTGGGGGCTGAATCCTCTTTAGGGAAACTTTCCTCGCCATTGCCATATTTGTGGCCTAAATAGGAGCTGCCATCTTGAATATCCCACTTTCTCACTAAAGTTCTTTTTCAAGATTCTTTAAAAAAAAAAGGCCCTTCATTATTTGACTGGGTTGAAGATGGGAAATCATTTTCCTTCAATGTGGCTTCTTTATTTGCTTGTTTTCCAGTGTAATATTTGAGAAACTTTAAGTCATTCTGTCTCTTACTCCTTTCTTTGTATGTGACCAGCTTTTTGGGTTTTCCCACTTTGAAAGTTTGTAGGTCCTTTTCTGGTGGTGGTGGTGGTGGTATTCCCTTCTTTTCCCATCCCCTTCCCTTCCCTTCCCTCTTTGGCTTGTTTGTTTGGGTTTTTGGTATTGGGAATTGAACTCAGGGCCTTGCACATGCTAATTACATACTCTATCACTGAGCTACACCACTGACTCCTAAGGTAAGTCTATTTCCTCCAGTGCTGAACATTTTCAATTAATCATGTTCAGTCAGGAAGCTTATGATCTTCAGGGCTGAGAAAAGTCTTGCATTCTTCCAGTGACAATGTTCTCCCTTCTATTTACTCTGATTTTTTTCTTCTGGTTCAAAAAGACACACTGGATCTTCTGGACTGGTCCTCTTTTTTTGGTGGTACTGGGGTTGTAGTCAGGGCCTAATGCTGGTTGGCTTGCTTGCTTATGACTAGTACTCTAACACTTGAGCCACATCTCTAGCTTGGATTTGGGCCAATTATTTTGGAGATGAAGTCTTGTGTACTTTGCTATCTGGGTTGATTTCAAACTTCAATCTTCTGGATCTCAGCTTCTTGAATAGCTAGGATTAAGGGTATGAGCCATCCTGGTGGAGTTTAGCTTTGAGTGAATTGAATCAATGGAGACCAGGAATGGCTCTCTCGGACACCAATGGCCTGTCAATGATGGCTAATGTGGCTAATGGTGTGGATTCAGGGGTAAATGGGGATTGTACTTCCTGTTCAATAGTGCTGTGATCCTAAATCTGCTACACACACACACACACACACACACACAAACGCACACCCACGAACACCTAGGTACTGTGGACTCCTTATGATCAATAACCAGCAGACAGGAAGGAGTCAACATCCCCACAGGGCAACTGGTCCTGCCAGGCAGGAAAAGGGAGACAGACTGTTACACACGGAGGGCATCAGAAATTCAAGTTCTCTTAGTTATTGGGGTCTCTGGGAGCAAATGTAGCAACTCTAGCCTGAGAAAGGTATGGTTTTCAGGGTCTCAAATACTTCAGAAATAAGAATTTCTGTCACTTGCCAGATAAGCCACTGAACCTGTAGAAAGGCTAGCTACGGTACACCAAATAAATACTTGTAGAAGGAAAGAAGGATGGCTGCAAAAATGACACTGTTGAGTATGTTAATATCTCTACTAGCAGGGGGCATGGGTGGCTCAAGTGTGTAATCCTAGCTACTCAGGAGGCTGAGGTCTGAGGATCATGGTTCAAAGCCAGCCCGGTGAAGGAAAGTCCAACCAAAAAGTTGGAAGTGGAGCTGTGGCTCAAGTGGTAATGCAGTAGCCTTGAGCAAAAAAAGCTCAGGGATGGAGCCCAGGCCCTGAGTTCAAGTTCCAACAGCAGCACAGACAGCAAAGCTCTGAGTTTTGGGAAGTTTTTGGAGTTTTTTCCAGCTCACCGACCCTATTCCCCCGCAGGGCGCTCCGCTCTCACAACACAGCAGCACCTCCGCCCCCGCCCCGCACCCCGCGCCCCGGCGCCCCGGCCCCTCCCCGGCGCCCCGGCCCGGGCAGCAGGACGGGCCCAGGCCCCGGCTCACCGCCTCCGGGCTTCCAGACGCGCTGCGATGCGGAGGCGCCGGGCCTGGATGCGCTCCTGAGGGTTGTCAGAGAGTATGGAGGGCCCCTGATTCGGGGCGGCCTCTTCTGCATTCTGCTCCACCAGGGCCTCTATGGGAATGGGCGTCTGAGGATTCATGGCAAAGCCTCCCGCCTTCAGCAGCTCGGCCCGGACCCGCTGCCCCGTTGCTAGCAACAAGCCGTTGCCAGGGAACGGTGTTCACGTGACTCGCGCCTCGGCGCGCCTCCGCTCACGTTGGGGTCCGGATGCTCCCGGGAGCGGACACCGAAGCCCTGGGTCTGATGATTAATCAGCACGCATTCATTTTTCTAGTCAATATCCCTAAAAAGCATACTCATCCGATATAACTTGAGCGCCTGCCATACCCGGTGCTAGAGTTTAGGATATCAGTGCTGTCCTTTGCTGCAGGAGGGTGGATGGAGTCGGCTCTGGGCCCACCGCCCCTCTGCAAGTGTGAACCTAACGTATTCGGCCTCTGTCTCGTCTAGAATGGAAACTACTGTCACCTCCATGAATCTGTACTCAGCAAGCGTGGCTATCCTCGATAGCAATTTTCAGCAGGTTTAAAACCTGAAACAATAGCACATCACAGACTTAAGAAAAGAGGAGAGGGTTTGCTTTTGCTTTTCTTTTTTCTTTTTGGGGAAAGCAGAGGGTGCAGAAAGGGAGGAGGGAAGGATGAACAAATACAATCATGCTTTTCAGTGTACACTCTGTGGAAAATGGCCTATGTAACTTGAGGGCAGGGATGGGAGGGGGAAATTAGGGGAAAGCAAAGGAAGGGGTGACATGGTCCAAAAAAGGAAATGTATTCATTGATTTATGAAATGGTAATTCCTCTGCACAATACCTTAACAATAACAATAAATTTTAAAAAGAGAGAGGGAGGTTGCAGAGGGAAATGGTGCTAGGGTACAAATACAGATCACAATCACTCTCATAGAAACACTGTTCAGAAAGACTATTTCCTGGATAGATATATCGATAGATCAACAGATCAACCGATGGATCAATAAGATTTTTGTGGCAATCCTAGGGCTTGAACTCGAGGCCTGGGTACTGTCCTGAGCTGTTCTTTTTGTTGTTGTTGCTTAAAGCTATCACTCTACCACTTGATCCATAGCTTTATTTCTAGCTATTTTGGTGATTGGAAATAAGAGTCTCACAGATTTTCATGCCCAGACTGACTTTGAACCACAACCCTCAAATCGCAAATCTCCTGAGTGTCTAGGATTACAGGCATGAGCCATCAGTCCTTACATATTTCCTGATATTTTTGTGTCCTGTTGTCCACAAAAACGTTCTTGTCATTACCAATGAACAATCCTGGTCTGGCACATTGATTTAAGGCTGTAATCCTGGCTACTTGAGAAGCACAGATAAGGCATGAGTAGTTCAAGACTAGCTTAGGCCAAAACAAATAACTAAATAAAAAGCTTGGGAGATTATATCTCTGCATGTGACTACAGGGTATATGCCTTTCCCCCAGCAACATAGAAAAGTATAAATAGGAGGGTTAAAGTCCAGGAGACCATATCTAAAAAACAAAACAAAAACAAAAACAAAACCAACATGCAAAGGGCTGGCAGGAGCACGTGTACAGAAAATGCAAGATCCTGAGTCCAAATCCCAGAACATTTCCTCATCCCAAAAAGGAAAAATGTTTTAAAGGGTTTTAAAAACAAATGAAACCATTTGACAGGGCCTTACTGGGAACCTAAGGAAAGAGAGTGGGTTGTGCTACAATGCAGTTACTACTCACAGCCCTGCCCTGCCACCTTGGGCAAGTCATAACTTTTGGAGGACTTAGCTCATAGTCAAGCCAAGTAAGCTAAGCCCTTTGTAAGACCTACCAAGGGCAAATGGAGAGTTTCCAAATCTGCAAGTGGTAGAGAACACAGAACAGCCTAGAGTCCAAATTGCTGCTAAGAACTTTATCTGATACCTGGCACTGTGGGGAGACAGTTGTTTCTAGGCTTCTGGGCCCTTTGCCAAGTCTCTCCTCTCTCTCTCTGTCTTTGGTTGTAGCCACAGCATTTAACTTGCCTTAGGGGTCATTGGTCCATGTTCTTCTATGTATAAGGAAATAAGTAGAATAACAGGAGATAGTCTGCATGGATCAGATGTTATACAAGGAATAAGTCAGAATAAAGATAGCATGAACATTCGTGAAATTTGCACAAAAAGCCACCAGTGGTCTCAAAGCTGTCTGATGACTTGCCTCCTCTTTCTTTTCCACTTCAGAGAAAGGTTTTTTTAAATTTTTTATAAAGATGTGCGGGGAGGGGGTTGAAATGGGGATAATAGTTTAGTGATAGAGCACTTCCTTGCATGTGTGAGAACCTGGGTTTGATCCTCAGACACACACACACACACACACACACACACAGGGCCTGGATGCCCTTTGCTGGCAAGAGCTTCGCATTATATCTGCTATGAACCATCTTCTAGGCCCACCCACCCTATAATCACAATAAATGCCACAAGCTAGCCTCCTTCCTTGGTTCTTAGGCACCATTTTCTTCTCAGCTGGGAAGAGTTCTTTGCCTCAATTATGCAAGCAAGCTTTTTCATGGGTTGGAAAAAGATTTAATTTTATTTTTATTAGCCAGGTGCTGGTGGCTCACACCTGTAATCCTAACTGCTCAGGAAGCTGAGATCTAGGACCATGGATCAAAGCCTGCCCGAGCAGGAAAGTCCGTGAGACTTTTATCTCCAAAAAACTATTCAGAAAAAGCTGGAAGTGGCACTGTGGCTCAAGTAGTAGAGCACTCACTTTTTGTACAGAGAGGCTCAGGGACAACGCCCCGGCCCTGAGTTCAAACCCCAGGACTGGCAAAATAATATTTTTATTGTTATTATAAAGGTGATGTACAGAGGGGTTACAGTTATATGAGTCAGGTAAAGAGTTCATGTCTTTTTGAACAAGGTCACGCCTCCCTCCCTCACTCCCGGTTTGTCCTCCCCACCATCATATAGGTGATGCTCAACATAGGGGGCAGTGAGTACTATTGCTGCATTTGTTCACCTCCATTTTTGTACCTCCCCCTACACACCCAAAGACATATAAATAAACAAACAGAACAAAAAGGAAAGGAAACAAGAACAGCAAAAAATAAGAAACCTCATTTTCATTTCCTGGAGTATATGATCAGATGCACATAGGCATCGTGCCTTTCTGTTCCTCTCCTAAGAGTATCCTACCTTGGTCTCACTGTGGGTGAACACTTAGAGACACATATAATTTATTATGTCCTGGTATCTTAGATCTTGCTTCCACATGCCATTTTTCTCTTTGAGCTTGGTTTACTTCACTTAACATGATTTGTTGTAGGTTCATCCATTTCCCTGAAAAATGACATAATATTATTCTAATGGCTATGTAAAAGTCCACTGTGTATAGGTACCACATTTTTTGGATCTACTCATCTATTGTAGGGCATCTTGGCTTTTCCCCCAACTTGGCTGATGTGAATAGTGCAGCAATGAATATGGATGTGCAGGTGTCTTTTTGTTATCTTGGCTCATGATGTTCTGGGTAGATGCTCAGGAGTGGTATAGCTGGGTCATAGGGAAGATCAGTGTTTAGTTTTTTGAGGAACTTCCAGAGTGGTTGTGCCAGTTTGGAAGAGATTTTTTACTCACCATTAGGAAGGCTCTGTTCCAGGATAGTATGCCAAACTTAATCACAAATTAGCATGCGTACCAATTGGGCAATTCTATTTAAAAGAATTATCCTAGGAAGTTAATAGGTCTAGGTTATATATTCTTGGAGATGGAATTAGATCAGTTTTATTCCACATGGTACATATAGCACCTAGCACAATAATTGATAATGTTGTAAATACTCCCCAAATTTTTGTCAAATGAAAGGTATGTTTACTTACAATATTAAAAACTGGATATGACACAACTCTACAATAGGGACCTGATAAAGTATTCATGGATGTAACACAAATTTAAGAAGCCATCTGATTCAGGACACTTTAAGACATGTTAAAGAAAGATAGATGCTGGGCCAGATGCCAATGGCTCATGCTGGTAATCCTAGCTACTCAGGAGGCTGAGATCTAAGGATCACGGTTCAAAGCCAGCCTGGGCAGAAAAATCTGAGACTCTTATCTCCAATTAACCCCCAGAAAACCAGAAGTGGTGCTGTGGCTCAAATTGGTAGACTGCTAGCCTAGAGTGAAAAAGCTCGGGGACAGTGCCCAAGCCCTGAGTTTAAGCCCCAC